TATCTAGTATAATTTTTTTTCCCCGGGAAATGGAAATAGCTCCCAAGGGTCCCAGTTCTTTTTCCTGTTTAAGTGCACTAACAACTCTATTGTTTAAATGAGCTGAATATGAGAGCTTAGATTAAGTTACTGTATACTGTGAGAAAGCAAAGGCATGATTGGTATTTTCAAATGCAAGCAGACACACTTGTTGATAAAAAGTACACACTTTCCTTGCTTCTGATTTTCTTAATAAACAGAGAGCACAAGAAAATTTGTATTTTAATTTCCTGCCAGTGTTTTTTCCCTTTCTTTCTTTCTTTGCTGATTTATTGACTTTCCTTTTTTATCTCTCTTGTTGAAAATTAAACTAAAAGTAAACACTTTACTTTTAAGAAGGTGGAAGAATATAATTTACAACAGCTATGGAATGTTTGACACCACAGGCGTCAGAAATGGATTCAAATAAAATCTGCACAATATTACAACACAACATTCAAAAACCCTGCGAGCCTGATTTCTTGAGGAGATGTGAGAATGTTGACAAAGAAGACAAAGAGTAAACCTAAGAAACATATTTAAAGAGAAGACCAAATGGATCAAAGATGAGACCAAATTTTGGTGTCTGCATCAAATTAAATTTACAAGTGATTTTATATAAATAGAAAGCATATTAAATGCAAGTAAAGTGTCTGCTTTAATATTTCAAATAATTTTTGTGAAAATAAAATGTCAAAATATTGGTGACATAATATTGCATGGTCATTCAGAGTAACGGATATATTTATGTAAAAATGGATAAACATACTTACTCTGACTCATACTTATTAATAAAAGAAAAAGTTTGTAGCTGTACAAAAACTTGTAGCTGACAAATGGGCAAGACCTTGGTTTGAAGGATAGTGGCAAAGATTGGTAAAAGATTGGTAAGTCTTTTACTGTCATCTGACTCTCTCTCTATATATATATGATAATATAACGGATTACAAATCTGATCATCTCTAATATATTGTAAATTGTATGGTAAAGTTGGACATACTGCATTTGATTTAGTATTTTTGCATTGTTTTGCATGTCGGAATTGAATTAATTAAACAAATCCCTCATGAGAGCAATGTTTTCAGCAAATAAAATCCAGCTTCTAACTTTCAGCTCCCACAGACAAAACAACAATCTAACTCAGTGAGTTTCTCATGCTCGTTCCGAAACACTGGGCAGTCAAGCTCACAGGCGCAGAAAGTGGAACTTCATGGATCTCTGGACTGGTCTTAAAGATAAATACTGTATTATAGAGAAAATAAATCATGTTGATTTTTTACTTTTTGTTTAACCTAAACAACACAAAAATAAAATCTTAAAACTGAATTCCTATGCAACATTATCCAAAGAACCTCAGTGTTTTGCTGTCATTGAAATGCAAAATCTGCATTGGCATTCACCCAGCCACAGACACACTGGACTCTATGGCACCAATTGACTTTTATAACATCAGTGGCTGTGTTGTGCCATGTAGAGTAGTCTTGACGGTATTGGCTGTTATTCCTAAACACAGACTGACTCAGTAGATCTGAAATAGACTGGGTAGTATAACAGCAGTACACCTGCACATTTCTTATCCTTAAACTACAGAATTATGAAGGCTGGCTCATACCGAGTCAGAGATTAGACATGTCACTATTGCAAACACTGTAACACAACCAGTTGGGACTTGTTCACACTCATATCCTGAGCTTTCAGTACAAACAGAGCTTTCTTCCAAGGTAGAAAATGGAGCCTGGCATGTATTCCAATGCATTTTCCACGTTTTGCCAAATCTCTTGTGTGCTGTCAGAGATTAAGGCAACCCACGATGATGAACTTGAGCATGAAAAGATTGTCTGAGCTGGTTTTATATTAAAACTGAGAAATAAAAAGACCCATCAAAAGTACTTTTTTTTTTTTTTTTTTAGATGTTGCAAAAAAAATATTTCATA